TAAAAATGCAGAAAGTTTCCTGTAAGGGGTAGGTTTAGGGGTAGGGTTGGTGTAGGGCAATAGAATATATACGATCTGTACAGTAGAAAAACCATTACGCCTATGAGATGTCCCCACTTTTCACAAAAACAAACCTGTGTGTGTGTGTGTGTGTGTGTGTGTGTGTGAGAGTGTGTGTGTGTGTGTGTGTGTGTGTGTGTGAGAGTGTGTGTGTGTGTGTGTGTGTGTGTGTGTGAGAGTGTGTGTGTGTGTGTGTGTGTGTGTGTGTGAGAGTGTGTGTGTGTGTGTGTGTGTGTGTGTGTGAGAGTGTGTGTGTGTGTGTGTGTGTGTGTGTGTGAGAGTGTGTGTGTGTGTGTGTGTGTGTGTGTGTGAGAGTGTGTGTGTGTGTGTGTGTGTGTGTGTGTGAGAGTGTGTGTGTGTGTGTGTGTGTGTGTGTGTGAGAGTGTGTGTGTGTGTGTGTGTGTGTGTGTGTGAGAGTGTGTGTGTGTGTGTGTGTGTGTGTGTGTGAGAGTGTGTGTGTGTGTGTGTGTGTGTGTGTGTGAGAGTGTGTGTGTGTGTGTGTGTGTGTGTGTGTGAGAGTGTGTGTGTGTGTGTGTGTGTGTGTGTGTGAGAGCGAGTGTGTGTGTGTGTGAGTGAGTGTGTGTGTGTGTGTGCATCTCACCCGGGTCTCTGCGCGGCGGATCATACATGATCTTTAGGTAACACTCAAACTGAGCCGAGAGGATCTGCTTGCGCGCCACGCTCAGGTCAGCAGAGGATTCTGGGATATGGCTCTCCTGCTCTGCTGACATCACGAGCACGTCTTCACCGCGACACAGCTTTACACAGAAAACAGCACACTTCACAATCAGAGCTCACTCACACAACCTGTGCTTTTCTCATTATTATTATTAATACTATTAGCACTGTCATTATTTAAAATGTCATTTATTTGTATTATTAATATTATTAATATTTCTATTTAGCTTAAAATGTTTTGGTTTTAGTATTTCAGTACTTCCACTTAAACTTAATTTATTTTATTTTTTGTAATTTAGTAGTGTGCTTTTGTCATTTTACATTTACATTTCAATTTAGCTAAAAAATTGTTTTTGAGTAATTTTCATCCAAAATAAAAGTTTTTGTTTGCATAATATATGTGTGTGTACTGTGTATATTTATTATGTATATATAAATACACACACATGCATGTATATATTTCAGAAAAATATGTTATGTTTATATATTAAATATATTTTTTATAATATAAATATTATGAATATAAATATAGACATGTAAATATTTTTAAAATATATACATGCATGTGTGTGTATTTATATATACATAATAAATATACACAGTACACACACATATATATTATGTAAACAAAAACTTTTATTTTGTATGTGATTAATCGTGCGACAGAACTAAAATATACTGTATATATATATATATATAGAGAGAGAGAGAGAGATTATTATTAAAATCTTTATTATTATTATTATTATGTAATATTACAGCATTTATGCATCTTGCATTCACTAATAATGTTACATTTACCAATTTTAACATTAACTAATACTCAACATTTACATATTTTTAAACCAAAATGTAATTAACTGTAGTTAATAGACTGTGATCTAACATGAAGAAACCAGGAACATATTTTTATTAATAACTAACATTAACAAAGTTAACAATAAATGCTGTAAAAATATACTGGTCAGTTAGCATTACTAACGTTAACTATAATTAAAGCATTTAAAAAACAATTTTGTTACTTAAAATAAAATAAAATGTATCTGTAATATTACCAAAGCAACATTTCTCATTTTTCTTTAGTGTAACTTGTAGTACTAAAATAACTTTAAAAAAGACTAAGAATACTATATATATATATATATATAAGGTTTTAATTAATATTAATAAATGAGAGCTTGTAAAGTGTAAATGTTTATTATTTTCTGTAATTATGTTCTGTAACATTTATATA